TGCTTCTCTCCTTTTGTTTGTTTTTTTGTTTTTTGTTGTTTATTATTTTTTTTTGTTTTGTTGTTTATTTTGTTTGTCTCTCTGTTTTATTTATTGTATTTTTCTTTCTTTCTCCTCCTTCTCTTTTATATAGTATATGCATTTTCTGCCGCTGCTGCTGCTGCCCTGCTGCTGCTGCTGCTGCTGCTGCTGCTGCTGCTGCTGCTGCTTCTGCTGCTGCTGCTGCTGCTGCTGCAGGTGCGGCAGCGCGAGGAGCAGTTTCTACGCCGCCTGGAGGCCCTTAAGGCCGAGGGCAGTCCCCTTGTCTTCGAGGGCATGGACGAAGAACTCAGACAAATACATGTAGGGTTTAGGGTTTAGGGTTTAGGGTTTGGGGTTTAGGGTTTAGTGTTTAGGGTTTATGGCTTGGGGCTGTTTAGGGTTTAGGGTTTAGGGTTTAGGGTTTAGGGTTTGGGGTTTAGGGTTTAGGGTTTATGGCTTGGGGCTGTTTAGGGTTTAGGGTTTAGGGTTTAGGGTTTAGGGTTTGGGGTTTAGGGTTTAGGGTTTGGGGTTTAGGGTTTAGGGTTTAGGGTTTAGGGTTTAGGGTTTGGGGTTCTTTGGGGCTTAGGGTTTACGAGTTGGGGTTTAGGGTTTTGGGTTTAGGGTTTAGGGTTTAGGGTTTAGCGTTTAGGGTTTAGTGTTTATTGTCAGGGTTTAGGGTTTAGGGTTTAGGGTTTTAGGGTGAGGGCCGTTTGCTGCTGCTCCGTTGCATTGTATGGGTTGCTTCTATGTTGCTGCTGCTGCTGCTACTGCTGCTGCTTCTGTTGCTATGACTTGTTGCTGCTGCTGCTGCTGCTGCTGCTATTTATGTTTGTGCTGCTGTTGCTGCTGCTGCTGCTGCTGCTGCAGGAGATGCAACGGAAGAGCCGGGCGCTGCTGCGGGAGAAGGTAGAGATAAACCGCCACGCTGCTGCTGTGCTGCATGCAGAGCAGCAAACGCTTGCTGCTGAGCGGCAGCGGCTGCTGCAGAACCCTGGGATTGCTGCAGCAGCAGCAGCAGGAGGAAGTGCAGCAGCAGCAGACACAGCTGCTGCAGCAGCAGATGCAGGTGCAGGCGGCAGCAGCAGCAGCAGCAACGCCCTCAGGAGACGAGGAGGAGCAGACCGCCTATCAGCAGCAGCAGCAGCGGGAGCAGCAGCAGCAGCACAGCAGCAGCAGCAGCAGCAACTAGCAAGCAGCAGCAGCAGCAGCGCAGATCGCTCGCATGCAGGCATTGCTATAGCAGGTGCTTCTCACGGCACACGGGGCTGGCCTGCTGCTGCAGCAGCAGCAGCACAGCAGCAGCAGCAGCAGCAGCAGCAGCTGCAGCAGCAGCAGCACGTCGATGACCCAGCTATGCTGCACCATCAAACATACCTGCAGCAGCAGCAGCAGCTGCAGATGCAGCAGCAGATGCAGAGACAGCACATGCAGCAGCAGCAGATGCAGCTGCAGGCGCAGCAGCAGCAACAGCACCCTATACAGCAGCAGCATTCGATGCAGCAGCAGCAGCAGCAGCAGCAGCAGCAGTTCATGCAGCAGCAGCAGATGCAAGACCCCCGCTGCTACCCCGCCTCTGCTTCTTTGCCTACAACTCAGAGTAGTGATATACCTGCTGAGGTTCGT